AAAAAAAATGATATTACATCTATTAAGAATTGTTTAAATTTAGGATATCGAGTCAGAAGAGAGTGAATCGTCTACTTCATCAGCAATTACCATATCCAAAAAAAAAAGCGAATACCTAAACTTAATGATCTCAATGCTGATGAGCTATGCATTGCTGAAACGATAACCTTGTTATATAAAAAGTATCACTGTACACCACACAATCGACCATGTTATATTCAAAATCATCATCATCTCAGATTAACACCATCGCATCTTCGACTTTGGGCTCATTAAATTGTAAGATAACAGTCTTTCATACAAATCCTTTCAGTTTTATGACTTATAAGCTGCTTTATTTTGTAGTTGCATGAAGGATCAATAGAAAATCCACCAACGTTACCACTATTTGGCATGAGCTCCAGTAAAGAACTACGTACACCACCACAGCCTACTCAACAGCCATATCTATCTCTACAACCCCAGTACTATGCATATATCCCACCTTATCCCTCTTTTCCACTATTATCTCCGCAATCTCACTCAGCTGTTTCATCGCCTCTAAAGAAAGTACCATCAATGAAAGAGTTTCTGAATGAACTTAATGAAACATATGGAGAAGGCACTTATACACACTTTGAAACTTCTTTCATGGAACAGGAAGTGCTGGTTCAATTTATTTCTGAATTTACTAATACTGATTTCAAAAAATTAGGTATTAAGAAAATCGGATGGCAAAAAGTCTTGAGACGGGCCACATTAAAAATATTGTCGTGGGTAAAATAGAAATAGTGTTGTTGTGGGAAAACGATAGGAAATTAAGGCGTGGAAAATTTAAGAGGTGGGAAGTTTCTAATGTAGTGTAGACATGCAAATAACAGGCACATGTATAAATACATGTGCACCCCGATAGCATGTAATTAGTTTTAGTGAAGTCTAGACTACTAGCATTTACAATAAAGTAACATTCAAGTATAAACTCTTATCTTGTGTTTAGTGTGCACCAAAAACTTGTAACTTGGGCTACGCGACTACAAGAGAGAACCAAAGATTGCCTAAGGGAATTGGCATAAAGAAATTAAGTGAAATCGGAAACACGCCTCAAGAGTTAAAGACTTACCTTATTGTGACCAAACCGTAACGATTCGTAATGTGGGCTCCCGGATAGCCCGTGACATTTGGTGATGAACCGTGAGATTCAGACATTAATAATTCTAAAATGATGTTCGTTTACCCCCCTCCCGATAAATTAAGACAAACACCATATTAGTAAGAGCGTTGATCATAATTAACAAACTTTAATTTAAATACTTACCTTTTCTGACGAACCCGTGATAATCCTGATTGACGATGTTAGACGACAATGCAACTGAAATCTTACAAGAACTAGTAGAAGCCCTCACCAGCTTTGAAAAAAATGGAGAGGTTCAGTGGATTAATATACCTAAATTAAAAGGTAAAAAAGGAGAAGGCCAGTATTCCTGGTTAAACGCATATAAAAAAGGCACAAGGATCAACGGTTGGACGAGTGCGCAAAAACTAAGATATGTAATAGATTACCTGAAGGAACGTGCAGCAGACTGGTACAAAGTCTGCCAGGACCGTCTTGAGCACTGGAACCATAGAGGCGACCGAAAGAGAAACTTTGTGCCAGCCTTCCTTCGATGCTTTGTAACACTTGAGCAGTGACGGCAGTGGCTGTCAGAGCTCGCAGAGCTGAAGCAAGGCGAGGATGAGAAAGTAGCATCATATGCTTGTAAGTTTCGGGACCTGCTGAGAAGAGTCGACCCCGACGATGGCGAATCTGGAAGGGATGAAGTAAGAGCGTTCGTAAGAGGCTTGAGAGAGGAGATCGCATCAGCACTTGCCATCAAGAGAGATGCGACGTTGGATGAGATGATTGGAGAAGCAAACCGGGTCGAAGAGCATATGGAGCGTGGGCCGTACAAGACAAACCCGGAACCAACGAAAAGACGAGGTAAGACCACACTGACAAAGAGACAAGACAAGAGTGCACCAGAAGGAGGAACAATGATGCTGCCTAACGAGAATCATAAGGAAATCGATACCAAGAAAAAACCGAACTCGGAATCTGCTAGCCAAACGAATGAGAATATGACCTCAGTTAATATAAAACGAGAGCGAGAAGAGATGAAGACAGCATCACCATCACCGTTAGGAGAGAAAGGAGAACCAACGAGGAATAAATCTAAGGAAGAGGATCAAGGAGGTATCACAGCGCCGATGGAGGAAACTACATGAACTCCGTCATACACTTACCCGCAAGGTGGGAACCACCAAAACCATCTGATGAGAATTCGAAGGAAGAACCTACGACATCACCTGGCGAGAGTCACGATGAGAATGGACCAAACATGGAGCCTACCTACAAGAATGATAAATCTGAGTGTGATAAAAGTAGGCTAGTCGGTAGAGAAGTTAAGTGAAAGGATGGCCAAATCGGAAACATGTCTCAAAAGTTAAAGACTTACCTTATTGTGACCAAACCATAACGATTTGTAGTGTGGGCTCCCAGATAGCCTGTGACAATATGCACAGTGATTAATTTATGTTTCTGGCTTCGACCGTTATATGTTAGGCATAGATTATGTCATTTATCTTTATCATTATATTTCAGTATTAAGAATAAAGTGATTTATTGAAATATTCTTTTGCCATTTCTGGCATAATTTGTAAACATGCAAGAAGTAATGGATAAATGTGATCACTGCAAGTGCGTACAAAATCATTGTTTCGTCGCAGCCAAGCTTTGATGGTTGAAAATGCTAATTCGATTGGGTTAAAATCAAGGAAATATGATAATAAGAATAAGATATGACCCTCAAGTTCCTCTATAACAGAAATCCATTCAGCATTGTAATGGATCCTGGCATTATCCATAATCAGAACACTATTTTTGCCAGGAAATGGATTCATGTGAGGTATCTACAGCATAATAACATCAATATGTCAATACAATAATAATATTTACAAGAGCCTTGAACAGAGCAAGCCACATACCACTTGAGTATATATGAAATCTTTAAACTTTTTCTTATTGTAGCTCCTCTCAATGACCTCAACGGCAACAATCCCATCAATTGTTAAAGCTAGTAGTATCATATAGCGTTTACCCCTAACAAACATTACCTTTGACTGAGCTTTTGTACCCATATAAGAGTATCTATATCTACGAGAGAGTGTTCGCTCATCTTTGGCACTTTCATCAAGAAACACAAATTGCTCAGGTACATAACCATTCCCGATTTTTGCAATAAATGCACTACGTAACAACTCATTTCTCTCTGCTACCATTGTATGTATCTTGATAATAGAATGTTAGCTAAAGTCACAACATATTTGACAAATACAATAAAACATCAAATACCTTCTTCCATATAATTCTGCAATATTTCAACAAGAGCTACAGTGTTGGAATTAATATTCACTTGCTTGTTATTGCTTCCATTTCCACTACCAATTCATCCAAATATCAGTCTACTCTTTCTTCTATCAGTTTTTTCAGATTCTGTTAGTGAGATGTGTGTTAAAGTTTATAAAAATAATGAAAAATCCAACAAAAATCTGCTAAAGATCTTCATGTCGCTGTCTTTGAACAGCTTCTTGTGACCAGAAGCACCCTTAAAAGGGTTCTCTACACAATTCCATCTCCTAAAATTCCTTAAAGTCTTGCAGACACCTGAATAGCTTATATAAAGCAGTTTACTAATCCATCGTTTACTATATCTGTCTTGATGCAAATATACTATTCTCCACTTCAAGTCTTCACTAAATAAACATTCCATACCTAAAAATAGTATTTATAGAAGAATTCAATTTGAGAACTTCTTATAATTACTTGAAGGTAAAGTGTAATCAGCTGTAATCATCTATAATCATTTGTAATCACCTGTAATCACCTAGTAATCACCCAGTAATCAGTTCGTAATTGTTTTGCAATTTTGGATTCCACTCTCGTAAAGAAAGTTATAACTTGGTACACTGGTCTCTACAAGTTGGAAAAAGGTTAAGCAATCGTGAAAAGCAAGACTTGTATTAACTATACCTATAGAATTTCTTATAATCCACAAAAATTCATTTTTTTTTGTCCCATGAGCAAGGTGGAACAGCATTTTGAAAATGGCAATAAAGAAAAAGTAAGAACTTTAAAAACCTTATATACAGTAATACAAACTTTTCTTCAGCACTTTTTAAAAATTACTTTATAAATATAAATTATTAAGTCATTATACAAAAATAAAATCATTTTATTATTTTATCGATATAATTATTGTAACTTATAAATTAAATTTTTGATTAGTCAAAATTAATCAATATTTTATTAATTAATTTTATACATTTTCTAGATTTCTTCAAAGGCTTTTAAAATAAATTACAAATATTAATTTTGTTAAT